ATCTTGGGGACATCTCAGCGTCTTGGGGACATAGTGTCTTGGGGACATAGTGTCTTGGGGATATATCAGCATCTTGGGGACAACTTGGCATCTTGGGGACATCTCAGTAGCTTGAGGGCATCTCAGCAACTTGGGGACATCTCACCATCTTGGGACATCTTGGCATCTTGGGGACATCTCAGGATCTTGAGGGCATCTCAGCATCTTGGGGATGTTGGGGACATCTCAGCGTCTTGGGGATATCGGCATCTTGGGGACATCTCAGTATCTTGGGGACATCTCAGCGTCTTGGGGACATAGTGTCTTGGGGATATGTCAGCATCTAGGGGACAACTTGGCGTCTTGGAGACATCTCAGCAGCTTGAGGGCATCTCAGCAGCTTGGGGACATCTCAGCATCTTGAGGGCATCTCAGTGTCTTGGGGATATCTCAGCATCTTGAGGGCATCTCAGCATCTTGGGGACATCTCAGCATCTTGGGGACATCTCAGCATCTTGGGAACACCTCCTCATCTTGGGGATATCTCTCCATCTTGGGGACACCCCCGTGTCTTGGGGACATAGCGTCTTGGGGATATGTCAGCAGCTTGGGGATATGTCAGCAGCAGCATCTAGGGGACATCTCAGCAGCTTGGGGACATCTCAGCATCTTGAGGACATCTCAGTGCCCTTGGGACATCACAGCATCTTGGGGACACCTCAGTGTCTTGGGGACATCTCAGCATCTTGGGGACACCTCAGTGTCTTGGGGACATCTCAGCATCTTGGGGACATCACAGTATCTTAGGGACATCTCAGTGTCTTGGGGACATCTTAGCATCTTGGGGACATCTCAGTGTCCCGGGGACACCTCTCCTGGGTGGAGGCCATGGGACATCCGTGGGACTCCTGTGGAGGTGTCCATTCTCCACCAACTCCACACCACAACCACGGGCAACTCCAAACCACCTCCGACCTGGCCCTTCATCCTCCATCTTGAGGGCATCTACCATGGTGGGCTGTCACCGCCCGTGTCACCTTCGGAAGGAGAAGGTCCCCCAAGGGACCTCCCACCCTTGTCCCATTGTCCCCAGGGTACTTCCCAGATGTTCTCCAGTGCGCCGTGGTCTACACCATGCCCAACGAAGAATGCGGCAAACTCTACCCCAAAGGCATCACCAAGAACATGCTCTGCGCCGGCGTCAGCTCGGGGGGCACCGATTCTTGCCAGGTGGGTCTGGGGGGGGGTCTTGCCCCTCCCCCCC